CCCCCCCACAAAACAAAAAACCCCCCCTCCCTCCTTCCCCTTTGAACTGCCAAAAGGCCCAAAACAAATCAAAGTCAATACATGTCAGACATACCAGTCAACACCAATGACTTCACATGAAAGAGGAAAAAGTGAAAGGAGGCTAATTTCCATCTGAAGTACGAGTTCAATGAAGCCTTAATCAATGAGCACAACCTCAGTTGTGACTAGTTTTTTACCTGAAGTACGAGCTATTTGTCTGATGTCATATTATTTATTTCTTCCATCTTATGTTGGGTCCCGTTATTGGCAGGTTAATTAAGTATATGAATTGTGCTTAACTGTAATAATCTTCCCCACATGTACATGTAAAGCTAATCTAACCAAATGGAGAAGCAAGAAGTCACTGAATTAAAGGTAATAGCATCTCATGAGACGGAAACAAAACAAAGGAAAGCAAAGCAACAAAAAGACCCTAATCATATTGCCTTTTTTTAATTAAAATCAAAGGACAACACCAGAGAATACACAATCGGAGAATTCAACTTACCAAAGAACTGAGTAAAGATCCGTGTGAAGAAGCTCAAGTTGCGAGAGACGTTATATGCCATTGCAGGAGGAAGAGGTTTGACAATGGTGTCAATGCTAAAGACACGACCAAGAAACTGTACACATGTGAAAGAACTACATCAATGAATGCAATTAAATAAAACATCTTATATGCATAGTAAATTGCAAATGAAAAACCATTACAGGAGGCTAATGACTGCTGTAAATGAATGCAGTGTTAAGTCTCTATATCAATTGAAGAAAAAAATTGGTGACATACCATTAACAGACATGGTCAATAAAAATAGTTTGGCAGATTTTGGTGTAGGTTGGGTGGACGAATCAAGTGAAGTATTTTTGAAGTAACAAACTAGAGTAGAACAATTGATGATAGGTCAAAACGAAATAGAAAACCTTAATATAGAGGAGTAGCAACCAGTTCAAGAGAGTGAAGAATTTATTTCAAATGATGATGAATCTGTTTATTTGGGTGGGAATATGGATTTAGTTTGGAGCCGCTATACTAGGATGAAAGGAATCACTGAATCAGCAAAGACATTATTTCCTAGTGAAATCCCTTTGCTATTGACTAAGACTTGTTCCAAGAGTCACAAGCGATAAGACTTCCTCATAAGTGATTAAAATGACCATGCATGTGCCACCAACACTACGAAAGAAAGGAGTATATTCAAGGATCCAGTTATAGCATGAGGATTCCACACAAATCTGGCTTATATTGAGCTGACCACAAAATCTGATAAAAATAGTGGTGCGCATTGTAAACCGGTATGTGGGCTCTGTGATATGTCCTCTGTCCTCCTAGAGGTTCCTTTCTGTTGACAAAAGGAGAAATATTGCACTTGAAAGGATTACCTGTGCAAACGTCATATTTATAAATCTCCAGAAGACTCTTTTAACTCTTTGGATGAATGAGACTGGAGAAGAACAATTGAATTCGGGAAGATTTTAGGGGTGAATGTTGGTGGAAAAAGGATTTCTAAAGAGTATGGTTATTGATGTCAAAGAAAGGTGGATAAGTGGAAGTGATGGACAGATTACCTGAAGAAAGGACCGTAAACTGAAATATACGCAGGAACTCAAGATTGGAGATCTCAACAACTAGAGGAAAAAATCACATTCTTAATTACTTGTTCTATTCAATTTGGAACCTAACCCAACAAAAATTTGAACCAATATCCAGCTTGAACAAACTATGCTAAGCCTGCTTAAACTAAAATGGTGCCCCTATAAATAAAACATTGAGTTCAATTCACCCTAAGACCTTGATGACCACAGCACCAGTAAATTTTAAAACCCACGATCCCAGCTAACACAATCATTATCAAGTTGTTCGTCATGCCTCAAAGATTTTACCTTAATCCTATAATTACAAATTTTCATCCACAAAAACAAAAAAAATACACCAGTATTCTACTAAACGTGTTCTCATACAATTAACCCAAATCATATACATACGCGTACATATAAGTAAATATATGAATTGAATTACTTGGAAATTGCGCTGGAAACTGTAGCGGAGTTCGGGGTCGATTTCAGTAAGGGAGTCTTCCCCAACGTCGTCGTTTTTGTACTTGTTCTTTCCAGGGACGTGCATTATGGGCGTTTTACCTGGCTGGTTCGTNAGGGAGTCTTCCCCAACGTCGTCGTTTTTGTACTTGTTCTTTCCAGGGACGTGCATTATGGGCGTTTTACCTGGCTGGTTCGTTACTTTGATCTTCGCGTCTTTGAATTTCTCTTCGTTCTCCTCCACCCTCCATGGGGCTGACGCCAGCAGCTCTTTCTTGCCCTTCGCCATTACTATCTGAATTGAATCGATTTTTGATAAATGATACTGGCCTTTGGTGTTTTGTCCCTCTCAAGGGAATTGGATAGGGTGGACAGTGAACAAATAGAGATACGATGTCGTTTGGGTTTTAATTCATTTTTCTGCAATTATAATTTAAAAAGGGAAAATTTCAAAAAATTAAGTATGATATATTTTAAAATTAAGAAAACAAAATTCAAATTTCAAAAATCAGATTTTTATTAAAATTTATTTATGATTTAATTATTTAATTAATTATTTTATTAATTTAATATATTTAGGTAACATATTTATACAATTTAGTCACGAATTAACAATTTAATTACTAATTTATTATTTTTTGGTCACAAATCAAAAATTTTATGTCACAAATTATTTTACGGTCACAATTCAAAAAATTTAGATGTCACAGTTAGTACATCGATCACAAATCAAAAAATTAATTAGTCACAAATTAATTTTTAATCACAACTTATCAAATTATTGGTCACAACTTATTTCTCGATCACAAATCAAAAAATTTATAGGTCACAAATTATTTTATGGTCACAATTCAAAATTTTTATAGGTCACAGGCTTTTCATCAATCACAAATCAAAACATTTATAAGTCACGATTTATTAATTAGTCACAAATCACGAATATTATAAGTCACAACTTATTACACAGTCACAAATTATCAAATTATTAGTCACAAAATAACAATTTTTTGGGTCACACATTATTTATTGGTCACAATTTTTATTGATCACATATTGTTTACCGATCACAAATTAACCAATTTAATAGTCACAATTGACCCAATAATTTGTGACCAACACTTGCGACCACGACCACGACCACCACCAACATCGCCGACCACCACTGCCAAATCCACCATGCCAGGCAGCATCGCCACCTGCACCACCAACAAAAACTATCACAAACCTCCAACAACACCTAACACCAAGGCAACCCATGACCACCGCACCCAGATTGGAGGAAGAAACCACCTCAGAAACCTCAACACCCTGCAACACCATTGCAAACAGAGGCAAACACCATCGCAAACAGCTAAACATTACCACCACAAAACAGAGGAACACCACCGCAAACAGAGGCAAATACCGTGCCTACTCCGAACATAGAGATGCAACATATTTTGAAAACCCCCACCACCACTTTCACCCTAGATATCCTCCACCACCATCACATCATCTACATCACATATTGTTTACCGGTCACATGAGTCGATTTCCACCACCACCAAAATCATCTACATCACATCTAAATTCAAAACCCCCACCACCACATTCACCCTAGATATCCACCAAATCGTTGACTGCAACTGTCGGACCATAGTGCGCCGTTGCACCGCCAGAACAACTATTCCACACTCTCTGCTTTGTTTGCCTTCTCCGCTTCAGATTGTGGTGGTGGTCGTCGTCGATGTTGGTAATTGCGGCTTCTACGACGATGACGACAATCATCACAGTCAATGAGAGGGTGCAGAGCAATGAGAGAGAAATGTAGAGAGAGACGGGTTTGGGGAAAATGGGTCGGTTGGAGAGGGTAGGGTTAGTTTATCAATTAATTTAATTTAATAATATATTTATCTAATAATAATATATTAATTAATATAAAACAATCTGATTTTTGAATTATTAAACTTGCAATCTGATTTTAGAATGTTGAATTTTTAAAATATGGTTTTATGTAATTTCCACATTAAAAACTCCACATTCTGGGTTATTCAACTTGAAGCGAAATTTTTCTTATTTTCCTGCCTACCCATGAATTCTTCGGAGCAGGCTGGGATGATGGGAATCTTCTAAGAAGTGCCTCCGTACGCCGCATTCACTACTTTAACTTCTTTTTATACAATTATGAACTCCACCAAACCTGATCAATTCCAACGCTATTTATCCTTTTGGAGTGTACGTCACAACAAAGTAACATATATCAAAATCCGAGTCCTCAATAGAGTGAGATGCTAATCAACGTTTCTTAAGACTTACTATGCCCAAAACAAGGTCTTTCGCCTCTTTAGAATCAAAAGTGCCATCATAGGGAATTGAAGCAAGAGGAACTATCAATTAGGTATAAAAGTCATTTCCTTTCTTACAAAGACTTTAAAAAGTAGAATACTTAGTTGATGTAATCTTTATTACATGATCATATATCTGTAATGTATTGTATGGAATAAGTCTCATTCTTCTAACATTTCCTGAAGTCAATGACTACAGGCCGACCAAAGGAAAACACACCAGGATCTTGCACAAGAGGAGACGTTCTCCATCTTTAAGCCCAGTTACAGAGACGTTTAGCTTTGAAAGAAAAGAACCACTAAATCTCTCGAAAGATATAAAAGATCACTTTCCAATCTGTACATGACTTTCATCGAATACGACGGTTCATAGAAGTCTTGGTTTTTGTTTGATTTAAACAATTTCAGTGGGGCAGATAAAAATATGACTTTACATCGACGGGGAAGTTTTCTACTTTATTATTTGAAAAACTAACAGAATTAAAGTGATCCAATTAAAATGGGGAGTGGAATCTTCGCGTCTTTGAATTTCTCTTCGTTCTCCTCCACCCTCCATGGGGCTGACGCCAGCAGCTCTTTCTTGCCCTTCGCCATTGTTATCTGAATTGAATCGATTTTTGATAAATGATACTGGCTTTTGGTCTTTTGTGTCTCTCGCAAGGGAATTGGATAGGGTGGACAGTGGACTAACAAATAGAGAAACGATGTCGTTTGGATTTTAATTCATTTTTCTGCGATAATAATTTAAAAACTCTACATTCTGGGTTATTCGCCTTGAAGCGAAATTTTTCTTATTTTCCTGCCGACCCATGAAACCTTCAGAGCAGGCTGGGAGTGTGGGAATCGTCGAAGAAGTGCCTCAGTATGCCGCATTCACTACTTTGACTTCTTTTTATGCAATTATGAACTCGACTAAACTTTACCAATTCCAATTCTATTTATCCTTTTGGAGTGTACGTAAAAAACTCGTAAATCTCACAACAAAGTCAACATATATCAAAATCCGAGTCCTCGATAGAGTGAGATGCTAATCAACGTTTCGTAAGACTTGCCATGCCCAAAACAAGGTCTTTCGCCTCTTTAGAATCAAAAGTGCCGTCATAGGGAATTGAAGCAAGAGGAACTATCAATTAGGTATAAAAGTCATTTCCTTTCTTACAAAGACTTTAAAAAGTCAAATACTTAGTTGATGTAATCTTTATTACATGATCATATGTCTGTAATACATTGTATGTCCTATAATAAGTCTCATTCTTCTAACATTTCCTAAAGTCAATGACTACAGGCCGACCAAAGGAAAACTCACCAGGATCTTGTACAAGGGGAGATGTTCTCCATCTTTAAGCCCAGTTACAGAGACGTTTAGCTTTGAAAGAAAAGAAAACCACTAAATCTCTCGAAAGATATAAAAGATCACTTTCCAATCCGTACATATGACTTTCATCGAATACGACAGTTCATAGAAGTTTTGGTTTTTTGCTCGATTTAAACAATTTCAGTGGTACAGATAAAAATATGACTTTACATCGACGGGGAAGTTTTCTACTTTATTATTTGAAAAACTAACAGAATTAAAGAGTGATCCAATTAAAATGGGGTGTGGGATGGGAAATGTAGGATCGAGCATCCACTTTCTATAAACGAAAATCCCGCTAGTGCCACTAGACCCAAGTCGTCTTGACAGATAAAATACAGAATCAAATCACAATAACTTTGCCATGAACACAAACCTTTGGAGCCGAAAGTGCTGCTGCAAGGGGCAAAGGTTGACAGCACTGGTCCTCTCTTTCACTGGTCCTCTCTTTCATCCTCTGTCCTTTTGTCTGTCGAATTTCTTCCAATAATTCTTTCAAATGATAACATACAACACACGCATTCATGGGCCACCTTCGTATACAATTGCAACTCTCTTCCCTACTCACATTCAGTAAGGATTGCATCAAGCATTTCTTTGTCAAGTGTGCATCGATTTGCAATGAACTATTCAACAGTTCATTTTCACGTATATAAAAAATTAACACAAGCACCGAACAAAACTCGTACCAACAAATTTCAAATTGAACAACCAAAGGTTTGTTAAAGAAAATAAAAAAATAATGTAAGAAAACTACAATTACTTCTCACAAAGCACGTCTCACAGCATATTTGAGCAAAATATAGATGATAAACACCAAAGGGGAGAAGAAAATTCCAATGGAAGTTAGTGCAAGTACATCTCAAAAATCAGAAATGGCAAACACAACCGCAAAAACAATATTGATATCTACAGAGATGTGTGTGACAATTCTATAAAGCTATGAGCTCGATACGAGCTCAAGACGAGTAGGCATGAGCAATCACCCGATAAGAATGCATGAATCAGTTATCAAAATTATATAATCTAAAATCTATAAGAAGATCCGGATTGAGGTGGAGCAGGTGGCAATCGATTAGGGGTGCGGCGGCTGCTGGAGTTTGAGCCAGAGCCCACGTCACCATTTTCAGCAGGGTCACTGTATCGACGACCGTGACCATTGGATGAATGCCTAGAGTCCCCATATGAATCAGTTGGGCCAATGGCAGCAGCATCAAATGCTGATCTCCAGTCATCACCTGATGAGGGTCTGGCAGAAGTTGGACTGCTTTCTGCACGTGTCAACAAGGAAAAAGTTAAGTTTTCATGTGATAGAAAGGATGCATGAGGCACATAGTATGGTAAGGTTGGAGCCCCCAAACTTTAAGCAAATTTCATGTTGGTCACAACTTTATTTTGCTCTAGGTACTTTGTAACTAACTGGTAACGAAGTTTTCAATGACCAGCTTGAAACAAATGACATTTAGTCAACAAATGAAATTTCACCAAAAGTCAAGAGACTAGCAGTGCATACACCCTCCATCGCCCCCCAACCCCAAATCATGCCAACATAGAAAATCAGAACAAAGAAAATCGTAGCTGAATTTTGAAGTCATAATAACAACTAGAATTGCTACTTCAAAGTACAAACTCTAAACATTATTATGTAAACAGAAATGTAATCTTGTTGTCTATATGTAGATCACGAGTTATCAGTCACAGCTATTATCCCTTCTTTTTTCTTTTTAACAGTCAAGAATGATACAGTTGTACCAAATTAATCGTCAAATCTTCATGAAGACTTTATTTCTCTTATCCTAACGTGCATGTTTTTTTGACTTCTCTAAGTTTATTCCAAATTTCCATATCATTGTTTTAATGCTGGTGTCCAGCACTCTAAAGATATGCACTATTACCAAAAATAATCCTTCGCGTGGGGATGCTAAAAATTCTCCAATGCAACTGGGGAATAGTTGCACAGGATTTTTTGCTCCCAAAGGATTCATAACACACAGTGTAGAGGTAAAGAAACCAAAATGAGATAGTAATCACCCGCTCCACCATTCGAAAAATCAGACACTGCAGCTGCCCGGTTATCATGAATACTAAGTTGCCTGGTGAGCTTGGAAAGAAGAGAAGACTGTTTTTGAATACGCTCCCTCTTGCGCTTTGTATTATGGTCCTCCTGGAGAAGCTCTTCAATTCTTGCTGTACTTTGGCCACTAGAAATCCACATCAAAATGAAAATGCAATGATGAGGCAAGAAGAATAACAATATGACAGAAATTAATAGAAAAAAAGTGATGTGCTTGGATGCATGTGAATGGTTACAAAAGACAGATCACCGAAATACTGTTATATTTCTCATGCATGCTTCTCAGACTTGATAAGAATACGACGACTACAAGGTAAATGGTATATTACATAAAGGTATAATAGTGGTGCTAACCTGACAGAACTGTACAGCTTATTGAGCATGTCTTCCTTAGCTTTTTCTACTTGGCAAAGAACAACAGCCTGAAAATCCCAATAAATTGCTTATCAAGACTCTGCTTCAAATAAACTGATTCACAATGAACATTCAGTTTGAAACTTACCTTTGGGACATTGGCAGCAAGGCTGTTAAGAACTGCTTCAACATAACCACGCACTTCCTGAGCCATCCAGCGAAGCTCTTCTTCTGGATCTGCAGGTTTTCTAGCCATTGTATCCTAAATGGTCCACCCACATGTTAAATATCTTATTATTAAAAGTCTTATAAATATCCTAACCAACTAAAAACGATGTTGCTCAGGTATACCAAAAATATTTAAAGCACGTTTGAAAGTTGTTTATGAACAGTTAAAATTACAAATAGATAGAACAAGTTATGGATAAGTGGATAATACTTATGGATCCCACAAAATATTTGTATAAAAAGTGTGTGGCTGATCATAAACAATTTATAAACAGTAGCCAAACAAGGGCTAGTATCTAACAGGCCAAACAGAACAAGAACTAGAAGAAATGAAAATTATGGAAAATTATGATATCATATATTAGAGCAGAAAGGCAATGAACTTCACTTAGTTACTTACAAGAGAACCATCAGAAAGACTTTGCCGCATGGAAGGGCCAGATTCACTCTTCACTTGACCTCCTTTAGAACTGATGACATTTCTCAACTTGTTTAACCATTCTGTCTTATCCGCCATACTCTCGGCCTTTAACACAACAGCACTATGAGCTGCAACATCAAAGCCCCGAGTGTCAGACCAGTTTGTAATTTGAGAAAATGACACATATATTAAAAATAAAAGATAACAACCAAAATTCACAATATACCTTTAAGAACAGTTTTATATTGAACCCGGCTTGTTAGTTTGAACACCAGACTGGGTGGTTTCTCTGGACCGTTTGCCTTTTTGTCCTTGGAACTTTTAGGAGGAGCTTCTTCTTCCTCAGATACATCTTCAAGATTACATTCCTGATGATATAACAATGTGTTTTGAACATTCATATACTTGACCACATACAATGCTGAAAAAATGGAATCTTTCAATAGTATATTTTTTTCCACCTTTCACCATCTTATTCAGAATAAACACTCAATCATTGTAGTCAAAGAGATTGGGAAAAATACTAACAGGATGCCAAAAAATGAACACAGAAGCAGAATAGCAAAAAATTCCAAGAAAACAAGCATTAAGTACAAAGAACTTTATCAACAATTTAGCGCCTGTTGGGTAATGATTATAAGAATTGAATTTTTTACCGTTAGAGAGAAAAGTGGATCCCACCTATGAGTGAAAAAGTCAATAATTGATTTTTTGGAGAGAAAAATTGTTACAAAATGGGGGCTTAGTCAACCCACAAAAGAATAATTATATGCATAAAACCTTGTAATAATGAACTGTGATTCTACATCAAAACACAGGAGAAGCTCTTATGTTGGAGGGGTTTGACTGTCAGTAAAGTATTAAAGGCATGGAAATTTTGGTTCCTTCAGTTGGAAAAGGGATACGAGAGCCTTCTTAATGCATTAAGACCTCGATCTCTTCGTGGAGAATCAAAATAAGATTTTTTTTCCTTTATTTTGGACAAGACAATCCACCACTCATGTCTTGAATCTTGGAAGAGAGAAAATGAAGTGTTCTGTTAGTAGTGTGACTTGCCTAAACACGTTGAATACGATGCTCCCCCCATTTTTACCGAAGTTATCTTAGGAAAATTAAGACAAACATAACCATACCAACACACTAATTTTATGTAACTCCACTTTCATATGATAGTTCTTCTTTCCTCTTATATTATTAATATCAGTTAAGCAACTCCAATCAATTAAAAATCAGATTTGCAATTAATTTCAAGAATGCCACAAACAGATTAATGGTACTTAAATAATTACAGGGACATAAGCATCTAGAAATGTAGGGGCATCCGAGTACAA